CAGGAACCTTCTTTCCAGGTAGGACTCCTTCAAAGTATGGGGCCTGTGGCTGGCCTTCCCTGTGCGCCTGCCAGCCCTTCTCCCTGGTGCCTGCAGGGTGCCTCTTTCTTGGGGAGCTCACTCTGTGCCTGCTGTGTCTTGTGCCCTGGGACCTGGCACGTGCTCACGTGGAGGTGTCTCGAAGAGATGGGGCAGGAGCCTCCTGCACTTGGCTCCGGCGCTTGTTTACAGGTCCAGCCTCCACCCTGCACCGCTCCCCTCGGACCGGCTGCCCGCCCGTGTCCAGCCAGGTGTGGGGTGATGGAGCGGGGCTCCCTGAGGACAAGGAGCACAGTGTCTGCTTTATTTGCAGCTCGGCGCTGACAAGGAACAGAATACCCACAGTGACTGCTTCCAGGAAACGGCTGCAGGGCGGGTGGGAGCCTCAGGAGCAGCCCCTTCCCAGCAAGCTGGCCTGCAGGTGGGCTTCCAGGAAGGGGCCCCCGCCAGCGCCCCTCAGCCTGGAAAGGGGCCAACAGTGTCACCGTGAGCAGGCTAGGGGGCTGGAGGAGGGGTGTGGAGGGAAGGGGAGAGCAGGGAGGGGGAAGAAGAGGGTGGGTAGGCCTAGGCTGAGCCTAAGTGGTGACTGCAGCCTCAGGGGAGACCAAAGCTGTCCGCAGTTCTTTCTGGGGCTGTCTGCTCCCCATTCTGGGGTTACACAATCTTTAAGAAGGGCCCATTCTCTTGGGGGCTTGCCTGGCATCTCACACACACACACACACACACACACACACACGCACTCACACACGTGAGGTTGCATGCCCATGCAGGGAGACAGTTCCCTGAACTTAGGTTCAGATCTGGTGCTGGCCAGCAGCTGAGGCCCCCAGGTTCCCCTTGCTGGAGGGGGTCATGTAGGTCTTCAGATGGGATCTACTGACCCTTGGTGCTGAGAGCTCTGCTGCCACTCTACCTCTGGAGAGGACACTGTTTGTCTTCCTGAAGGTTAGGTTGGGGAGGAGTCTAACTTCCTTGGTCTCTACCTTGTGTGTTTTGAAATTTCTTAGTCCATCTGCCCCCAAAGGTCCCTGCAGCACTGTCCAAGAGATTTTATTTCCTTTGAAGCATTGGAATCCTTTGTCCTCACTCTGTGGTATAGTGAGTGTCCTGACCTCGCCTCGCTCCAGCTGTCCATAATCTCTGCCTGAAAACCCTCTTTTGGGTCATTAAATTCATGCTGAGACACAAAACCACACATAGGCACAACAAGGCACACATGGCAGGCTTGGAATCCACCCTCAGAAGACACTGCCCCACATGGGCTGTGACAACATACATGCCCACAGAGCATCTCCGACAGATCAGAGGCCACACCCTAGCCTCAGCCTCAGCACCAGAAGTCACAGCCAGCTGGTCAGCACACAGTGACACTGTGGAGATCCTCAAAGGCACAGGTGGATGTGAGAAACACATGCCCAGGGACAAGAGGACAAGAAAGGCCTAGTGGCCTGTGAACATACATATGCTGGCCATGCTGGCCCAAGGCACACAGGTCCTCAAGGCTGCCCAGGGGCACATGAGCCACCAGCATGGCCATATGCAGCAAGTCCTCTCTTCTCTAATAGGATGATGTGGCCTTTGCTCAAACTAAACTGACACAGAAACATAGGCTAGAAGGGGTCTAGGTGTGAAGGTCCCTAGCAAAGTGAGGGATATGGCTGGGGTCCCTGCCATTGTCCAGGGTCCCACTTGAGATTTGAAACATCTTTCCCCATATTTTAAGCCAGCTGGCCCCTCCCCATCCCACCCTGGGCTGGGATGAAATTCAAACCCCTGTTTGCTTCTCAACACTTAACTCAGCGCAGGGGTATTTTGAAAGTGCCTTTTGGGTGGTTGGGGCTTGGAGTCTGTCTAACAACCCTCTCTAAGCCCCTTTTCTAAAAAGCAGGAAATCGGGTTGGGCCAAAGGTAAACACATTCCAATCTGTCGGTCCTGGGCTCAGATGGAAGGGCTTTGTGTGTCTATGTGCTTGTGCATGTGCGTGCGTACATAGGTACATGCGTGTGTGCGTGCGTGTGTGAGTGCGTGTGTGTGTGTGTGTGTGTGTGTGTGTGTTGGGAAGGTGCCCTTGTTTTCTCCCAGCAAGGCTGGGACTCAGGACCTGCCACACACCTGCTTGCAGAGCAGTGATGCCTTGGCTTGTGGCTTCATGCCTTGGTCTGCCTGCACCCCAAGATGTTGCCCCCATGTGTTTCTTTCCTCCTACCTCCAAAGCCCCACAAGACTCAAGAGCCCCCAGAAAACAGTTCTAAGAACCAGTCTCAGAAGCCCACAGCAAAAGCAGAGCTGACATGGGCAGGCCCGGGGTAGACCTGTCCCTGTTCACACCTTGGTATCTCCAGGGGTGGGAGGAGGGCTGACAGATGTAGACATCGGCAGACAAGGCTGGGTGATAATGAGGGCTGCTAAGGGGCCTCTGTCTCTCCCTCCA